ATATATATATGTATATATATATATATATATATATATATATATATATATATATATATATATATATATATATATATATATATATATATATATATATATATATATATATATATATATATATATATATATATATATATATATATATATATATATATATATATATATATATATATATATATATATATATATATATATATATATATATATATATATATATATATATATATATATATATATATATATATATATATATATATATATATATATATATATATATATATATATATATATATATATATATATATATATATATATATATATATATATATATATATATATATATATATATATATATATATATATATATATATATATATATATATATATATATATATATATATATATATATATATATATATATATATATATATATATATATATATATATATATATATATATATATATATATATATATATATATATATATATATATATATATATATATATATATATATATATATATATATATATATATATATATATATATATATATATATATATATATATATATATATATATATATATATATATATATACACATTTGATATATATATATATATACAATCAAATACTAAAATGATTTATAAACGATCAATTTATTAAAAAGGCAGTTGAAAATTTGGCTGTCATTACAGGAATAGACTAGCGTTTATTATCTTATATTAAAAAGCAATATTAAATTATATTAAAATAGAAAAGAGTTATTTGAAATTAAATTCTAATCAAATTTTTTAAATTATTCCTATATTTTCTTGATAAACTACATGACATTTAGTGCAGAGTGTTTTCAATGCATAAAACTTATAGACTTCGGGCTCCAATAGTGTATCGTCCACTTTTAATTCTTTAATTCATATTTCAATTCAATTTCTACTTCATGTTTTCTAATTCAAAGATAAACTAATTATTCAATTCTGAATGGCGGGAACAGCCATTTTTTACACAAACAACCTCCAGTCAACCGTGTATTTCAGCCTTTCACCTTAGACCAGTTGTTTTCTTTACTGAGCAGGTCTGCGTAGAAGTAGGCCATCTTCCAGTGCCTTTTGTAGGTGAAGCACCACATCAGCTCCCAGTAACACATGTGATGGAACTGTTTCCAGTCCTGCTGAGCTTCACAACACTCCTCAAAACGCTTGATAGCCTTAAGAACAAGAACATGCATATGAACACACATGCATGCTGGCACAAGAATTACGCTTAAAGTATACTTAAATATAAGAAATAAAGTAATGTGTTGTTAATAATAACAACAATAATAATAAAATGTAAAAAACAATTTATAAAAAAATTGCAAGAATACTCAAACTCTTTATGCATTATATAATTACTTACAGCATCCAGATTTCCTTTAATTTCCTCTATTCGACCAGCGAAGAACAGGAAAATGGATCCCTGACAAGAACACATCAAATTTTATACAAATATTAAATTAATACTCCACTATTTTAGAACAATAAACTGCTCATTATATACAATAACATAATTTTCAGCTGAAGTTTCAAGAAGATTTTAATAATGTTTAAGGCTTTTCACTTTTTAAAGTGCTAATGTTTAAATGTTCTTAATGTACTAATTGTATTTTAAAGATGTCTAATTTTCTACAGTAGGTTTAAATACAAGTATAATATATAAAATAATATATACAGTATAATATATACTGCATATGTACTGTATATATCTTTTCATAATATAAATGCATGCATCAGCTCTTATCTTAGTGTCTGGAATAGTTCTTTAAGGAATTAGGACTCTCCAAAACCCCTCCTTTAAAAGATCCTACTCTGCTCTGATTGGTCAGAAGGGTTGTTGTGATTTCTCCTAATCATTCATAAGTTAATTTTTGCAGCACACAAAAAAAGGATGTCTTCTCAACCTGTCGACAACAGTGATTAAAATCTTCTAGGCCTCAATAATTAATACTAAATTAAAACAAAAAAAAATGTTCACATACAGCCATTGTTGAACATAGACCATTTTTAATTGATGTAAACAAAAACAATGGTCCCAACACGTTTCCTGATTTACATTTTTAATTTCTATCACTTCCGAGAATCCAAAAAGAGCAACATATTGTTAAATAATATTATGATAGCGGTTTAATTAATTAATTAATTTACATTAATTTATGTTTGAATCGCCTCTTGTTACAGTTATGAAATAGTTTGAAAACAAGCAGGAAATGATGCAAATCTTTTACAAACCTGCATGTGTTTGTGCAGAAATTAAGATTAGATTTACAGCATTTACTCCACTTATTGTGTACTTTTATTTCTGAAACCTTTATATTCTCAAACAAATATATCACACACTACTTGAAATTAAATATCCCTCAAAATATAGGAAAAAATGGTCAGATATGTACCTTCGGATACTTTTTCAGATAAGGCTGAAGCAGTTTTTCTGCATCTTCCACATCCCCCTCTCCAGTGCCTGAAGGACAAACAGATAAACCCAAGGAGAAACAAAACAACAGTGTTACATCTGATCTACCACTTATGAATTGAAAATACAATTCATGTGGGAACCAAAATGCAAATCCCAATCATATTTTCTGGGACTGATCTGTTATTAAAGACTTTAAGAAAGAAACACAGAATGCATTATAAAATGTCTTTAAATTTACAATATACTTTGATAGTATTTTTTTTATGGATGGATACCTCAGGAATTACTAACAATAGTTGTTTTTTTCAAATATAATCTGTTGGTGAATGTAAAAAAAAGTTACCATAAAAATGATGAACATGTGTGTGTGTGTATATATATATATATATATATATATATATATATATATATGCATATATATATGAGTATATATGTATTGAAATCACAACAAGCATTTATTAAAAAAAAAGAAAAGAAAAAAAAAAAAGAGCGAGAGAGCAAATGACAGGATTTGTAAATCAGAAAATGGAATAATACACTTCATATGGAGGAAAATGGACCAATTATGCAACATCTCAGATTGTATTTTTAGTTCAAATTTGCATATAACTAAAAACCCCCAACATGTACATAGTTTTTTTTCCCAGTTAATTTGCTTTGCAGTTTTTTCTTTCCATTTTTGTATACTTTTATTTGTTCTCCATTCCTATGTATATAATATACCTGCATGTGCACATCTAAGAATGTAAAGTACATGTTGAGGAATGTATGCTAATACATATGTGTGCATTCCAGTATCTGACAAAAGTGTAACATTTTTTGAGAATAAAAATGAAAGAAATTACTTTTTAAAAAATGTAATTTATGAAATGTCTCCTCTTACCCAGAATGAAGCTCATGAAGGTGTGGTAGCAAAGCAACAACATGTTACACAGGAAAGACCTAAACGTGTGCTCAGAACAGCCCTCCTGGAGCTGCTCAAGACCAAACTCCTAAAACAAATACACAGAGGAGATCAGAATTAAACAACAGTTTCCTACATTTTGATGTCACATTTGAAGTAATCCTAACATAAGTGAAGAGAATTGAAAGAGAATTTAAGCATATCTCATGAGTTACATATATAAACACTGATCAAAATGAGTGAATAGACTCTTAAATTCCTTAATGATCTGATCTGACAAACCCCATTTAATCAGATTTTTCATGACGGTCGGCTTTTCCAAAGTGACTGAAGCAGGAAGTCAAAGGTATGAACCATTCAGCCAGAGCAAGAGAAACTGGTCATTTAAATCTGTAATTTCTAGAATACCTTATAATGTCTCTAACTCCCTAAACTCCCCTAAAAAATAAAGTAACAGTGGAAGAAACTGGAAGAGTACATATTAGCCCCTTTTCCACTATTAGGCCATGTGGTTCTGTTTGCTTACCCATTCCATGGCTATCTGGTCCAGTCAGCATGGAAACAGTTTCATTTTCCTCTGTGGTGCTGCTAAAGCAACTATTTGGAATGTACAAATGCGCCATTGGTTGCCTTGGTAATGTAAGTGTAATATAAACAGCGATATGATGATTTTCTACTTTGTTAAAAAACAATAAAATCAATAAATAAATGGCACTCTTCAGTAGAGTGGTGATGTTATACACACAATCAATGATCTAGTCCAGCATGGTTTAGCACAACTGTCAAACCATGCCTAGATTTCCAGACTGTGGTTCTAGAGAACTGAGTAATCATACCGTGCTATTCCAGGTTCATGTGGAAACACTACTGGAACTGTATCTGACTGGGGCAGCCATAGCCTAAGGGTTTAGAGTTGGTTTTGTAATCAAAAGTGACCATAAATTGTCTGTGGTGAGAGTGAATGACCCTTAAAGCCACAGCTGAGGTCAGTCACTTGAGCAAGGCACTGATTCCATAAATGCCTACTGCTTCAGGTGTGTGTTCATGGTGTGTGTGTGCACTTGGATGAGTAAAATGCAAAGCACATATTCTCACCACTCATGGCCACATGCCACATTGCAACGTTCACTTAGAAAGGTTCAGTAATCTTTCCTTATGCTAAATTCATTGCTGTTGTTTATTTTGTAAAACACTGGTCTACTAATATGATCAAGTGCCAACTAACATTTCATAAATGTTTTAAAATAAAATAAAATGAATATAAAGTGAAAGTAAATGTGTTCTCTAATTCAGTGTCCATCAGATGTCCATTGTACAAAAAAAAAAATTATAGTTCCCCCAAAATAAAAATCTCCTAACCATTTACTCTACTACGCAAACAGATGAAAAATGTGGAGGATGTTGAATTTCTGACAGAATTATTGTTATATATATATATATAACACAGAAATCATTCACACTTGTGTGCTTCCCTATACATTCACACAAGCATAAAACACTTTTATTACTCAGACAGACAGAAAGAAAAAATAACCAAACTCAGATACAATTTCATTTGTACACGCCAAATATGAGCAGAGCCAAACTAAGCTTAGTACAACACAATACTCACTTTGTTACCAGAAAAGCCCACAAATTCCAACAATCTGAGAGTCCGCGTTGGCAACAACGACAGCATCTGGGGAAAGCACAGGTGAGGGGTTGAGAAAACACAAGCCTTGTCCTCAGTGAACTTAATGCTAGGATTCATAAATGCTCTGGGTAAATTGTAAGACGCAAGAAAACATATGACAAAAATACACTTACCAGGTTAAAGGCCCCGATGCCGAGTTTAACACCTCCCTCAAAATGACCATGATTGTCACCTTGAACATAACCTGAGGATTTCAGGATCGTATGAAGCTCCCTTGCGTTAAAACACAAATTAAACACAAAATAAATAAACAAAGATATACTTCTATATAAACACACACACAAAACAGTTCTTCAGATGAATATAATGATAAAAATTCATGTAAACATAAAACTTACTATCATTAATCTAATTAATCTAATTTTAAAATAATAAGTAGCCGTAAATATTATCATTTTAAAAACTTGAAACTGTTACTATTATTAATAGTTTTTGATTCCTTTTAATTGAATAAGTAGCATTAAATATGATAGTTTTAATTACTGTATAGATACAACATTTACAGTTTTAGTTTTAGTGGCTTTAGTGCATTTCTCACAACACTATTTACATTTGCACAACAGTTAATGCATTTCTCAATACAATTAGCCATTTGTGCACATTAAAGTAGCAGTTTTACTCATTTCTTCCAACAAATTGTAAATGTTTTTAGACATGCATCGATTGCTTTCATACAACTCTCTGCTGTTTTATAACATTATCATTCGCTGACATCTCATGTCAGTCAAATAAACTAAACGTGTGAATGCTGTATAGTCATTCCATTTAAAACCAATAGTCCTCATATCATTACTCGAGTCATTACAAACAAAAATGTTGAACTAGTTGTCAAAATCTGTCAAGCTCTTTTTTTTTTCCTGAAAATGTCTTCTAAATTGTAGAATTTCATTAATGATTTACAGATCTGTGTGTGTTGTAGTTTCAGTTCCAATACGCACTGCAGTATTGTTTACAGTTGTGCACAGCTCTACTCAAAGGAAGCTTATGTTTGTTATAAATAAGGGTGTATTTGTTCTTTTGCACAATGCTATGAATAAATTAGAATTGCTGGGAGCAAAAGTAGTAAACATGTGAAACATACATTTTCAGTGTTATACTTGGCTACCTCACTAAATGCAGTGATGTCTAACTGTAGTGTGTTGTTTAATATACTGTACTGTTGTCAAATAGTATATAGTGCTGTCTTTTTTTGCATTTTCAGGAAGGTGTCACCAAAATCTGACTTTTTTGCTTTGGGAAAAAAAAAAAAAAAAAGAGTAAACTGTCATAATGAAAACATGACAAAGACCTATGACTTTATTCTTGTTCATAAACAATGGTGTCAGGACTTACATCTTGATGACACTGACACTTTCAGTGACACCAATACTTGCTTTTGAGAAATAACCTATCCATTTTGAGCAAGTGACACGCTTTTGCAGGGTATCAACTAGGTTTTGCAGTTTGTACTAATTGTTTAGAAAAATCCATTAACTGTTGTGCAAATGTAAATAGTGTTGTGAGAAATGCACCAAAGCCACTGAGAAAAGCTGTAGTTTGTATATTATTGCATTATATTATATGTAACATAAAGAGATAGACAGACAGACAGGGACAGAATATTTTTATGTAATTAATATAATATATAATGAATCATGGATATAAATGTTTAATATTTCAATTATAAAACAAGTATTCCCATAAAATGAGTCAAGCAACATCTTTCACAATGTCGAAATCAGTAAATAAAATATATAGCTCTTACACTATTATTCGGAATACCATCATACTAATATTTTTACCTATTTTATTTTTAAAAAATGCTATTTTTAAAATATATTTCACAATAACAACACAGCTGTAATTTGTAATTAAATCTTACTTGTATATTTGATAGCTGTTTCTCACTTTCATTCCTCCCTTTATGAAGCTGATCATATTTTCATCCTTAAGAAAAACATAGTTAAAAGTATATCCTATTGTCTACAAAAATGTTTCATTCACATAATTGACTACAGGCCAAATCCAGAAGTAAAAGTGAATGTACCACTATGACAGACCTGAAGGAAAGTGAGTGCTGCTCTCTGGAGGAGGCATTCGGCATAGCACACTTCAGCATGAAGCTCCTCTGTACACACACATAATGCTTTTACAGTCTCTACGTCACAGACACACAGCCTTTTCAAAAAAACATGATCTGGTCATCATGGATAGAGGAAGTGATTGCAAAAACAGCGGCATCATATTAAAGGAATAATTTTTAAAGGGACAGTTAACCCAAAAAATTAAACCTCATCTTTTGCGCTCCCTCCACTTATTCCAAATCTATGCAAGCTCACTTTTCTTGCTGAAGATAAAACACTTAAAAAAGACTTTTGCTGCTTGTTTAAACTACTTATGGGGAGACAACTTATTTATTCTATGTTCAATTTATATAAATTTGTAAAACGATCAAGTTAAATTAATCCATTCGTGTTGGGACAACATGCAGAAATCATGTGAAACCTACAATGTTTTACATTGAAGAAGATATTTTGAAGAAAGTTGGAACCAGCAGCCATTTATTTATTATTGTTTATTTATTTATTACAGTCACAGATAACTGGTTACCTGTTTCTAACATTCTTCAAAACATCATCTTTTGTGTTAAAACAGAAAAAATAAACACTAAAAGCTGAGAATGAAAAAAAAAAGGAGATTATCGTTTTATTTTTGGGTGAATTATCTTTTTAAATAGCAACCAGTCATTTAGAGAAATATGAATATAACAGGCACCAACCTTCTGTGAAGTTTTTGCTGTTGAATGAAGACTTTTTGCGGTATCTGTAATAATACACACATCCTTATCAGTCTTGTCGTAAAAGAACACAATGATGCCTCAGTAGTGGTTACTAGGTAACACACACTGTTGGCACAGTTGATTGAGGCTGGTCTTGAGTTCTCTATTACAGTCTCAGTGTGTAAAAGCTGGATACACTACAGCAGACAAACTTGCAGTCGACCCAATAGCAAAAAGCCCAGCTTGATTCATTGTATCCCTGAGGCCACATAAATAGAGCAGTTAGATCAGAGGAAGAGACAATGGCTGTCTGGTTTCTGTCTGCCCCTGAGGGACTAACAAGAATTATTCTGTTTCTCCATCTGAAACTCTCCTC